AAACCTTATCAAAGGAACCTTAAATCAGCCTGCATGAATAGTTTCTTTGTGGCTGCACCACAGAGATGAGCAGAGATATGAGGCCTAATTTGGGAAAGCTCAGAAACACTTAATTCTGCCTTAATAAGCCTTGCCGCTACACACTAAATAGCTGTTAATATTCTAGAATTTATAATTGTCCACACTAAATGTAGCTACGCATAATTATCTGAACATTTCTTGCAGCATTTCCTAATATAATTAGTGCTTTTGACTGCTAGACATGTTCATTAAATACCCCACAGGGTCAAATGAACAGAAAACATGATGAAACATTCTTTATTCTGTTGATGATGGTTCCTCCGTTTATGCATCTTTCTGGCTAAAATTAGGGAATGTTTTCATTCAAAGGATTGTGTTACACTGTACTGCATAGTACCACTGTGGATGATAGTCCTGTGTTTTGTCTAATCCTGCTGATGGGGTCCTCTCATTGTGGTCTAGCTACTGTAAATGCATAAAAACAATCTTGTACAACTACACAATAGCTTAAAGAGGAGGTCCACTTCAGCTTCATAATAATGTAAATTAAGTAATGCCAGCACATGCATGTTTTCCCAATTTTTATACTTCATCTTGAGAAATGTATTTTTACATTTTAAGTGATTATCAGTGAATCTTTGCCAGGAATAGTCTCTGGCTTTTGCAACAAATATCACAAGAGTTTATCCTTACAGTTTTCCATAAAGAGCAGTAATTCATGATATTGGATTAAAATTCATGTTCTTTTTAAGGTGTTTTGCTGGCATGGATGACCAATGCTTGACCAACCTGCCTACTGAAGTGGCATGAATGCAGTTATTCAGATTGTTCAAACCTTAATTGCTTTAACTGGATAACTTAAATGTGTGTTCTTTGTGAAATGGAGTTAATCTGAACTCAGTTATCGGTTTAAAACAGTTTAAACCCGCTTTGTGAAACAGTCCCCCCTAGAAAACACAAGTGGAAACTCATGGAAAATTGATTAAAAACTGAAGAACAGTTAGTTGTCTGCTGTGGGAGTACAAGTTACCCAGATTTGTGCTGTTCTTTAACAGGAGATAACACCACTTGTGTTTCTGACTACTGTATAACACTTAATGGTCTGTCATAACTTCTTGTACGCTGTTACTGTGTTACTGCTTTGCAATGTGCTCATATTTGCCCTTGTCGTGGTTTCACAGAGCAAAAACCCAGAGAAAAATGCCACCTTCCTCAGTCGGATGACTTACTGGTGGTTTAACAGGTAACGGAACTTAATTTATTTCTCCAAGATTACAGAAGATCAACATGAAATTTTGTGCTTATTACTGTGCATTTAATACAGTACTGTACTGTATTTTGACTCACTTTCAAAAGAGAAAACCTACAGAAAGAGGCACAGCTAGTAGATTCCATAGGAGGAAAAGGAGCTTGTAGTAATGATGATATGAGAATTTGCTAAAATATTTTTCCTGTACATGCAGTGTTCTGTTTAGCTAACTAATGATTTTGTGCATAATTGCAGAAAACCATGAGTGCCATAAGATACATTCTCTTTGACAGTGAACCGAAACAGCTGTGTTTGCCATTTAACTGCTCCTAATATAGGTGTTTGAGGAGAGGGAGTTGTTTGTGGCTTTGACCCACGGTATGTGCTAAAAAATAAATCTTTAAATACATTTGATGTTGACTTTCAGATTGGCAGCATTCAGCTTTGATAAATCTTTTTATTGGTTCTTATTAGTGATGCATTAATATTTGTACAACAGATAAGGTGAAAATACGATTGATTCTTCTATCAGGATTTTTTGAATCTGGGGAGTAAAAGGAATCTTGTAATGTGAGGTATTTCTGAGCATTCATGACCAAGACATAAAACAATCTGTCTGATATTTCATGAATTTCAAACATAATGTCAGGTTTTTATTAGATGCATGATACACACAAAATGTCTCTGGCAGCAAAAATAATCAGCCTTTTAAATTAAATTCATATCTTATTTTAGCAGTGACCCAATTGTTTAAACCTTATACCTGTATATACATGTGAGTGCATGAATATAGTATATTTATGTGGATATGTTAGAACATTTGTAATGGAGTTGTGTTATTGGTTATAGTGTCTGCATTGACAGACAATGTTAAGCAAATGTGGCTGATTATGAATATGATAGTACACCAAACTACGGTTCAATTTTTATTGTTTTGTAATTAGTGATTTCAAAGATCTTAATTCTTTACCTTTGCCTGGACGTTATCTGTTATATCAAGTGAATCCGTAAATCAGGAAAGAAGTTTAACAACTGAACTGCCCTTTCCATTGTTGCAGGGTTATTATTCTAGGTTACAAGAGGCCCTTGCAGAGGGAAGATCTCTTTGATCTGCCTGAAAATGACTCATCATACTCTGTGTGTTCTGCCTTTGAGAAACACTGGAGAGCAGAGGCCCATCGATCTGACCAGGTGATTTTGATCAGTGTATCACTTTGTACTACTGCAATGTAGTGAAGATAGCATTGAGAAAGCCACCATCTTAACTCAAAACACAGGTATGAGTTTGAACCTGTGATGTGGACTTGAACTAAAATGGCCACCTGTTGATTGGGAGAATCTTCAGAATAAGACACAACTGGTAGATTCCTTAGGAGGGAAAGAGGAAGCCTCTTTGTGCAAGTAGCCACTCATCTGGATTAATTGATATAAACCTGTTTAAACCTAATAATTTCATTAAATGCAATGATCATACAAAACTCAAAATTTTTCATAATAACACTAGAATTATATATCTTTTAATCACACATTTTAGATATATATAGACGGATTCATTTTTCATTAGGGTTTTTTCTCTAATCAAAGAAATCAAAGTCCTCGCACAAGATGCATAAATTATAATTTCCCACACTTATATAGCACTTTTCAAAGCGCTGGCAGGTAATAGGGACTCCTCTCCACCACCACCAATGTGCAGCATCCACCTGGATGATGTGACGGCAGCCATAGTGTGCCAAAATGCTCACCACATATCAGCTATCAGTGGGGAGGAGAAGAGAGTGATGAAGTAATAGAGTAATTATAACCTATTTTAAGTCTGTGGTATTCTGCTTTATAAGGTGAAATGCAGGTATTTTGCATAAATACAGATGCAGCCATTCAAAATGCACGGTACAGACTCGTACCGTGGGTATCTACGCGTGTGCCACTGCGCCATTCCGGGGTACGTGATTGGCTGGCCAAAATGACTGGCAGGGGCACTCATGGTGCATTGGTCCGTAGTGAAAAGATTTAATCTCTTTACTGTGCATGTTTTAATCTGCTTACTATTGAATATTTATATGGAATTTTACAACTAAAGTGAAATTTTAGGAGCTGAGCATAAAAAGAAGAGGAGCATAACGCATCTGAAGGTCATAAGCGATATTAACTTAGGAACATAAACATATTATGTAAACTGTACAGATGCAGCCATTCAAAACGTGCGGGCGATACCGCATTATTTTGCGCTTTACCGTAAATTCTCCTATAATACCGCAAGTAAAATAATAGTATCCGGAATTTCCGCAAGGTGGAGCTAATAAA